AGACAAGTTATTTCTTGTTGAAAATCCTCAGAACACGGGATTTTTTCTTTCTAACCCTCCCCAGTAGGATCTAAGGTTTTGTAGTCCCTGATAGAAGTACAATTGGTGCCAAGGGAAATGTACAGGAGGACCAATGTTGACTCCATATCCCCTTTGCTTCCCAGATGTCCATCTGTACCTCTCCAGGAGGGCTGCTCTGCATGGGAGGGAGAGACCGAGGAAGAGCCTGTGAAGATGGGGCGGCTGGGATCCCTCTGCATATACTTATATTTAGAGATGTGTATAGTTATAGTTATACCTAGGTAGTTATAGGTATATAGATATTTACATATGTAGATTGAATATTTGTATAGGTATAGTTATATATTTATCTGGTTATTTTTATATATGTATGCAGTTGTATAGATGTATAGTTATAGTGATGTAGTTATAGGTATATGGATATTTTGATAGGTGTATTGATATTTGTATAGATATTTTGATATATTTATTGATATATGTATATTATATTTATATCTGTATTTAATTATATTTATGTATGTATACAGTTGTATAGCTGTATAGGTTTCTTGATGTAGCTATAGGTATGGATATTTAGACTGGCATATCAATTTCTGTATATTTATATATGGATTTCCTATGTATATATTTATGTGTTTTATATAGTATACCGTATATAAGATATAAAAATATAAATATAATACACATTTAATACTTAATTATATTTTTGTCTCTATTTTGTTATCTGTTTATATAGTTATATTTAAATATGTATGGAGTTTTATAGTTATATAATTTTATTTATGTACGTATAGTTATAGGGTTATTTAGATAGGTATATTTATATTTGTGAATTTGTATATAGGCTGTACAGTTGTAAAAATCTTTAATAAATTACTTTTTTTAAACTTAAATTGATATTTGTATAGTTTTATATCAGTAGCACAGTTGTAGCTATTTAATAAATTTAATTTTTTAACTAAGTTGATTTTTGTGTATTTATGTATCAGCATCACGGGTGTATCATTTTGTAATGTAATTTTTAAACTTAAATTGACTTTTGTGTATTTATGTCGCAGTCGCAGCTATTTGTAATAAATTTCATTTTTTAACTAAGTTAATTTTGTGGTTTTATATATCAGCAGCATGGGTGTATAATTTTGTAATAAATTTAATTTTTTAACTTAAATTGATTTTTGTATTTTTATTTATTGGCAGCACAGGTGTAGAAATCTGCAATAAATTTTTAAACTGAAATAAGTGGTTTTTGAAGCGATTAGCAGATTTTGGCAATGAGAGAAGGGGACTGGGGGAAAATATCCAGACATGCCCAGCAGATCCCCCAGTTCCAGTAAAGCTGGGAAATGAAACTGCAGATTTTGGATATACAATGGAGCCACAAGCTTGGCAAAAACTCAGTGCAAAGGCCTACTAAGAGAACGTGACTCCACTCAATGTAGAACTCAAACCAGGAGCAAACCTGGTAAGGATAAATCTTTTAAAGTGAAGGTGACTCCTTGGGGCCTTTCCCAGCCACAGGTTTTGTCATTTTTATTCAAAACAGGAAGAGCTTTATCCCAGGAGTGAAAGTAAACTCCGTATGCATCAGTAAGGTCTGGATGATATCGGGTGGCCTGAAAAAGTGCAAACTTTTTCTCAACTTTGACCACAATCGATGTCCTTACTAAATCTTAAAACAATTGTATAGTGCATGTGCTATGCCTGTATTCCCCCCAAAAAAACCAATGAGAACCAAGAATCAGCCAGGAAATCAATAGAAAACAATGGGCAACAGAAATTATGCTGACTCACCTGGCTCTTTTCTGTGCAAATATCACAACTTCAAGCAGCATGCCCAATGGAAATGACCAGGGACAAATTTGAAAATGGTGCTAAAAGAATTAATCTTGGAGGGTAGAAGATTTATGAATCTATTTGCAGAACACTGGTGTGAAGGACAAGGAATCAGAATTGGGAAAAATCCCAGAAATGGAAAAATATGTAGAGCAATTGAACGGACTTTATGATGCAGGCTTTATAGTTATTATGTATACACACATTGTATGTTCCCCCCGAGTTTGTCTCTTCCAGGCATATTCCAGCCTGTCCACCTCCCTGCTCCCCTGTTTCTCTGCTGATTGGCTGGAGGAGCTGCAGGGAGGAAACAACCTCCATTCGCCCCTTCTCTCCCTGGTTCCTCCCACGCTCCACCCTCTTTTGCCTGTGCCCCTATCCTGATTTGCTCCCCCGTTTGTCTGTCTGATACCCCACCCTATGTTATGGCCCTTTCCCTACCTGAACCGATAAGAATCTGGTGCACGCCTGAATAAACCATTCTACCTGCATCCCACCCTCGTGTAGTGCCGCGGTCCCATCCCCTCTTCGGACCGCGGCACACTGGTGCATAAAGGAATGAAATAATCAGAGGATGACTAGATGATGAGCACCAAAAGAATCTCGTCGTTGTAACAGGCCGAATGAAGTTCACAGAGATGCTTTTGGTCTACAGAAGAGGAGAAGAAAAGTTTATGTGAGAAAACAACAAATGTAGGAACTTACCATCCCAGTGGAATTACAGTTATCACCAAAATATATGACTGATAACTTTACCTATGAGTGGCAACATATCTGTGGAACAAAATACTTATAGCAAGGCAATGAACTACATTTCTTAACTGTATGAATATTTCTGTGAATATCTGATGCAAAAGTATACAGCTGTCAGGACTGAGCCATTACTCACCCAAGGCTATAGTGGAAAATTTCTTTGTGGGCACACTGTTTTCTGCCAGTTCATGAACTTAACTTCTTACCTAGTTCTCAGTTCACAAATTACTTCTCCATGTGAACATTTTCACAGTGCAAAGCGTGTGGAGTAACTTTCTAGAAAAAATGCTGCTTGTTTCAGGAGTATTGTCCCTCATTAATAGAAACTATCCCCAAAGCTTCAGTGAAATCTGGGAAAAGGCTAAAACTAATCATTGAAAAAATACTTTAAAAAACCTTGTTTTTACTGGGGCAGGTACAACTGATTGAAGGGTCTACAGGCTCTAAGAACAGACAGTGCTTCTGGGGGGCTCAGGATATAGCAGTAAATCTTCTCAACACCTGGTGAGCAGAGTTCTGTTACCTTGCATCAACCTGTTTTGCCGGTATGGTATTTTCCTAAGAGCAGCTGCTCACCTCTGGCAAGGAACAGGCTACCACAGCTGGGATAAAACATGCCAACTGACAGACACTTCAGGTCAAATGGTTGCTATATCTCTTCCTTCTAAATTCTCATGTGACACTTTTCTATGCCGCCCAACTATGGCTGAAAAGTGCTCGTTAGTGTATCACAGCTGTCTGTTTCCAGATGAGACACTGTGGTGCTGAGAAAAATATCAAAGGCTGTGTTGAGCATTTAAACCAGAGCCCTCATTAGCATGAGAGACACGAAACACATTACTGTCGAGTACACAAACACATTTACCACCCTTTCATCCAACAGCAACAGCAGAGGGTGGTTTAAATCCAGACTTAGGGAGGGAGGTTTTCTACAAGCTGACAGTGACAGGATAAGGTGCAATGGTTTTAAACTGAAAGAGGACAGGTTTAGATTAGATGTTAGAAAGAAAGTCTTTACTGTGAGGGTGGTGAGGCCCTGCCACAGGTTGTCCAGAGAAGTTGTGGATGCCCAACCCCTGGAAGTGTTCAAGGCCAGGTTGGATGGGGCTTAGAGCAACCTCGTCTAGTGGAAGGTGACCCTGCCCATGGCAGGGGGGTTGGAACAAGATGGTCTTTGAGGTCACTTTCAACCCAAACCATTCACTGATTCTTGGAAAACAGCACCGCTGCTATAATAAAATTCTTGTTGATTAGCTAAATCAGATAGGAGAAGGGGATTATCTTTAGCAAATGTAATTTTCAAGGGGGATTTGTTTGTTGTTTTTATTGGGTTTTGATGGTTTGGCTTTGGTTTTGGTTTGTTTGGTTGTTTGGGGTTTTTTTAATTCTTGATAGAACTCAAGAAGGTGCAAAGAAAGGAATTAAAGATTTCGGAACTGGAAAAAGATCTGAAAACAATTCATTTCTCAGCCAGGCCTTCCCCTGACTGCTAGCAGTTAAATAGGTTTGCTTTGGTAGAACTACAGGTTTTCAATCACTCTGTACAGTAGCATTTTCCATCTAAAGAATAATTTCTGAAACACCTGACCTGGTAGAAAACAGCCGCATCCTCTGAGTTTCCTTCACTGACATTTGACATCCTTCCAGGTGCCAGAACTATGCCTGAGACCTAAACCTGCAGCAGGACATAGGCAGACAAAGAAACAGATAAACCTTGTTTTGTTCAGCTGATTTGTGCCAATAAGGGAAGCAAAGAGCTTCTGGTGTGCAATCTGCTGTCTCTGGTTTCCTTCCATCATGTAGTATTGCTGCTGGAGCATGTCTGAAGGTCAGTTTCATCATGAAAATTCAGTCTGTTGGGCCTGAACAATTTTTACAAATCAAGAGCTGTTTTTTTGCTGCCATTTCCATCTGTTGAGGAGTGAGCAGAGTCACTGCAAGCATCTGAGACTAATGACCTGCTTCTCACAGCAAAACATAAGCCTCTTTATTTATCCTCCAGTATGGCAAGAGAGATTAAGTTGTGAGGGAGTTGTAAACAGTAATTTCATTACAATAGTGGTATTACCACGTACCAGAGATATATCTGTGTGCACAACTGATGAACTTCAGAAATTAGTCCTTTAAGTGGTCCAGAAACTTAATTTCTAGTTATTTTCATAGCTCAGATAATGAATTGGATTGATGAATTGGATCAAAAATGGACTGGCTCAATACTAGGTGGCTGAGTGACTTCTGTCCACTTTCACAACTCAGAGATGTGGGAGCTCTCTGGGTGGGAAGCTCCAACTGTCCTAAGAAATTCCTCCAGGCAGCTCCTGCTGTGACTAGAAGAACTTTAAATGTGTCATTTGACATTGCAGGTGAATAATCTGGCCTTTTTAAGTGATGGTTCTTGCTGCAGCATTGATCTGCTGATACACAGGAAAGACAGTTGTGAACAGTTGGTGCTTCAGAGGCAGAAATAGTTACCCTGGGTAATTGCTTGGACATAGAAAAGCTAAAACATGCTTTGTACATACTTTCAGAAAGTTTGTGCCAGAGTGTCGCTCAGGGCCTTGGACCATCTGGACTATTAGGGATGAACTGAACAGCAGCAATTCTGACCATCATTTAGAAACGCAGGATGGAGCCAGATAAGCCAAGGATCCCCAAAGCCTTAGGCAAAAGGCAAAAAAGTTAACACATTGTGCTGGTTTAAGAGTTAACCAGCAGGGGAAATGAACTCAACTCAAAGGAGAGAGATTATAAGTCAGAATAACAATTTATTAAAATAATACAATAAGTACAATCATACAAACAAACAATTGGTCTTAACCCACAAAACCCAAATGTATAACCCAGTACCCTGGGGCATGAACAAAGTGGTGTTCCCTGGGCCCCACTTGAGTCCAAAGTAAAGGGAGAGGGGAAAAACCTGCTGGTGGGAGAGCTGTTGCAGTCTGGTCAAAAGTGGTGATTGCAGTCCAGTTGAGGGTGGTGGTCTAAGTCTGGTTGAGAGTGATGAGCTGCAGTCTTCCTCTGGATCCCAGGAGTGGTTGAAAATGTTCCAAGACTCTAAGATTATATATCTTTCAGTTCAGGCAGGAATGCTCAGTACTTCCCTCAGGGTGGGGAGTTCCACAAAGGGTGTGAGGACAAGAGCATCCTCCTGTCTCACAGGCCTCTTAACACCTAGTTTATAGCCTGAGGAGTCAGGCTCTATGGGCAGAGGGTGCGAATAGTCTATTGACAACAGTTTCTGGGAAATGGCATGGAAGGCTATAGAATACACAGTTTTGGGTTACACCCATACCATGATGAACTGGTCTCAGCTGTCCTAACTAGGACACACATGACTTGCATGGCCTTGCCTCTTCACTGCTACTGTCTTTTGCCAGAAATAACTGAGCATTAGCCCACATTCAAATGCTTCCACCAGCACACAACCTATGATCACTTGCTCCCTGAGAGCCCCATGATGGCTCTGGCAAACATAACAAGGATAGCACAAGCTCCACCAGCTGGCCTAGAACTTGCACTGATGTCTCCCTGATCGTTCAGTCTGACTCCACAATTAGAGCACAAATAGGTCTAAATATCATCTAAGTTTCCTTGTCCATGTCCCCCATCCTTCAGTGATGTCAAATCTTCCCCTCATGGCATCGCTATCCTGAATTCCCACACATGAGAACTTCTCCCCATGTTATTCCTGGAAGTCTTTCTTATTCTGTACCCTGAATACATCCACTGTCAGCACAAGCATTGGATTTTGGTTCTAAAAAAGACTTAACCCAGTGCCTTCTATCTGGAGATGAGCTGAGTTTGGCTTTGAAATGGCTCTACTTTCAAACCAGCAAAAGCAAGTACTGAAAATAAAGGAAATAAAAAAGCTGATAGACTTGCTTATGCTCTTGTTTAAAAAATATCAGAACAATGTTTCAGGTGAAATGTCAGTCTCTTTTGTACTTCAAGTGCAGAGAGTACGCACTTTTAGACCTTTGAGAAACAGCAGCGTTGATTCTAAAAAATAAATAGTGACTGTGAAATAATGCTGTTTCCCTTTAATTTTTTTGCAATAAAAATAACTTGCAATATTTGACAATGAAGTTGTCCGTTATCCATTCTAGTGGTGGATTTCTTTACCAAATTAAAATAGTTGCTTCTCTTTGCCTTTTTTTAAAATATTTTTCTTTAAAAATCAAAATACCTGTTCTTCTTTTTCTTTTATATTAAAACAATTTAAAAGAATAATATTTTTAAAATAAATCTTTTCTCTTTCCTGAAAGAGTAATTTTTTATCTCTTATTGCAAGGCAATGTGGCCTCTAAAATTTGCTCGTTTATAAACTGAACAACAAAAAAACCCCTCTGCTGTTTAAGTGCTGGGTCCCCATTAACCTCAGTCATGTGTACCTCTGCCAGATATATGATTCTCATTATGCACTATTGTATTAATTTCTTTTTGCAATAAGTAATTTTTATTCTACTCTCCTGAGACAGTGTATCTACTTGACATATTATTTCAGTAAATTTCCTTAAACTGGGCAACTCCAGTCTTTGTATTCATAGGAAATGAAAAGTATTATCTTAAAAAGTGTTTTTCCAAGATTTAATACGGGCTAGAATCAAAACTATTACTGTCTCCTTCAATAATATTGTCAATAACATAAATCTGTGCTGAAACAATTTCAGTTGTTTAAGACATAGAGATAAAATTATGACTCAGGATGAATTTTGCACTAGAACTTGCCTGTCTGCCAGAACATGTACTCTCTGCACGCTGCCCTGTTTGTCATCAGACAGTGGAGAGAAACCAGAGCAGAAGTGTGGGTGGCTGGGCAGAGAGGGGGACTAGAGGCAGGCTGAGGGCATCGTCCTGTGATAAGCCCAGCTGCCCCTGCTGCCTACTCTGCCTTAGGCATCTGCTGCACCGTGAGTGTGTGGCTGCAGCAGGAATTCTTATGGGAAGAAGCATGTCCAAAATGGCCCTGGGGCTGCAGGGGCCCATGGCTGTGTACCTCACCACATGGGTGCCACCCTATAACACTCCAGCCCTGGAGCCACAAGCTCATGGGCTTAGCCTAGAGTTTTACTTTAAAATATATATGTAGAGGGTTCTTCAACACCTTGAGATAGTGTCAGGAGAATAAGCCACACACTTGTTCCCAAGAGGCACTTTTTTTTTAGGGAAGAAAATAAAGGAGCCTGGCAAAAGGAGGAGACATTATATAGCTACCTGCTCTCACATCTGGATGGCAGGGCCACGATTGCATGGCAAACCTATGCCTTTGGTTTTACCTGCTCTGGTCCTTATTGCCAACCCCCGCCAGGTGGGGCCTCTGACCCACTGGACACTCTGGGGCTCCAGGCCAGGGTGAAGGGCAGTATCCTCACTGTCCCTGCTAATCTGAGGTTGGGTTAGGGGCTCCAGGAGCTGTGGAGTGTTGAAGTTTTCCATGACTGTTTGTGACTGACAGCTGCTCCAGGGCTTCCCCATGTGGGCGCCAGGCCCTGACATGAGGGATACAACACCACCTCAGCTCCGTGAGGTTTGACCCATCCCTTCCCCCTCTGCATACACCTCCCTGAACCCCCTTCAAGGTGTTTCTGACCCAACAATTACTGATCTGGTGTGTAAAACACCATCAGTGGGGCACAAGGGGAAGAGGAAAGGAAGTAGAAGAGAGAGAAAGCAGCAAGAGAGACAGTGTGAGGGAAATAACAATTAATTTCCCTTTCTTTGAATAAAGAGCTGCAAGAGCTCTGCTAATGCTACCAGTGGGGCAGCCTCTTGCTGGGCTGAGGAGAGTCCTAGGAGCTGGGGGCCTTCCTGTTTGGAGGGTGCCAGGATCCCCCGGGCAATCACTCCCTGCCCTAGCTGGACATAGAGAGGCTGCAGCTGCTGCCCTGGGCAGAGGGACCTGCCACTGTCATTGCCTGCCCCTGCTCCTCCTGGAGCTGGTCCTGCTCTGCAGAGACAGGCACAGGTGGGGGATGCCTGGAACCCCTGGGAGAAGCAGCCTCCAGTATGCTGACTTCCTCCTCCAAGTTACAGCCTTTGGGACCACTGGTGGGACTCCTTTCCCAGGAACTGCTGGTCCTGGAGCTATTGGAGCTGGAGTTGCTGGAGCTGGAGTTCCTGGAATTGCTGGAGCTGGCTCTGCCCACAGGGCTGTTGTTCTCATCTCTGACTGCACCAGATTGCAGCAGCCTCTGGACTCCTCGCTGCACTGGCCCACAATTATGTTGATGGCACCATGGACCAGCAGTGCTGTGTGTTGCTCGAGGAGAGGCTCCAGCCCCTCAATCAAGGCCTGTACATTCAGCCCCTCGACACAGAGATCGTGCAGGATGGTGCTCTCTGCGGCCTCAACCAGCCACCACCAGCTCCGGTATATTCCCTCCAGCCTCTGGCGCAGCCAGGGCCACACAGGGTCCAGGAGCTGATGTCGTCCATGGAAAAGTCCTGCCCAGACCTCAGGAAGAAGACCACCTCCAAACTCCAGCCCTGAGGCCCTCTGCTCAGGTGGGGATAGTGCACCCTGTGGAGAAGATGGATGGGATGCCACTGGGAAATAGGGGCTGTTCTCATCCAGGCCGTCAGGAGTTGTCCCTGCCAGGCTGCTGCCATCTGGCAGCTCCTCAGGGACTGTGATGGCTGTCTCCAGATAGTCGTCTTCACTGTCAGAAAACCTGATAGTCTCTATTGTTCTTCTGCAGAGTGGGTATGATGGATTTCTCTGAGCCCACCGCAGGATATAGCCCAGGCAGAAACAGTGGTGACAGGGCAGAGCAGAAGCCACGTCCTTCTGAGTGTCCTGGCAAATGGGGCAGTTGCCGTCTGTCTCCATGGCCATTTTGTGCTCTGCAGTGCGCTGGGGAGAGCTGAGGATCAGGAGCTGCTTACCTTCACTGGTGTCACACACTGCAGGAAGGAGAGGCCATGGTCACTGGCTATGGCAGGAAGGGGAGGAAGAAATGTCCAGGTCCCTTGAGAAGGATGCCCTCCAAGCTCCCTGCACCCCTTTAGCCACCCCAGGGGGACATTGTCCCACACAGCCAACCTTCACTGCTGCCAGTACTCCCAGCTGCCTGAACCAGGCAGGGCCAGGAGTGATGGCCCTGGGACTGGCACTGAGATCTGCCAATGATAGGCACCAGCCAGCATTGGACAAGCCTGGTTTGATTCTCCAGACTTCACTGTCCTGCTCACATGAAGTTCAGGCTGCGACCAGACAGGCCCAGACACACACAGAAGCAGACAGGGACAAGATGTCACAATACACTGTGATGTCACAATTTACTCCTCAGTGACATCAGCCTCCATGCCCAGTGACAGCACAAAAGGCATTCTGTCCCCCAGGTTCCCAAGATAAGTCATGAGGGAAGTGAGGTCACAATCCATTACCTGGTGATGTCACAGTTCACAGCTTGGTGACATCAGCCTCCACCCCCCAGTGTTGTCACAGCAGGCCTTCCCATGCTGCAGGCACATGGCATCAGCTAAAACTGGGCAATTCAGGCTGGAGACCAGAGTCCCTCTTCCCTTATGAGGATAGACTGGCAGGGGCCAGGTTTCCCAGTGAGGTTTTTGCCATCTCTCTGCTTGGTGGTTTCAAGCCCCATCTGGACAAAGCCCTGGGCACCTGATCTAACCCCAGCACCAACCCAGCTTAGGCAGAAGCTTGGACCAGAGACCTTCCAAGGTTCTCTGCACCCACATCCATTCTGTAATCTTTCCCTAATGCTGTGAGAAGATTCAAGTTTAAGATGGCCATCAACAGGGTCCATATCAGCAATTTTAGCAGGGTTTTAGGTTCATGTTCTATATCTCCGCAGTATTAGTCAGTTTAGCATCTGCTTAATTTGCAAAGTGTAAAGTTCTCTCTTCACACAGCCTTGTCCCACAGTCTGGCAGTGCAGCAGAACTGATGAACTCCAACTCAAACTGCCAAAAGTAATTGCCTCTGGATTGATGGATAAACAACAGTCATGAGGGATGTTTGCAGCAGACTGGTCACATAGACTCAGGGCTTTCTAAAAGTCTCGGTGGTAAATTCTGCCCGTGCTACCACATGTGGGTGGCACCCATACTGGGGCATAAGGGGAAAGGGAAGGGCACTAGAAAGGGGCAGAAAACAGCACCTAGAGATTGCATGAAGGAAATAAAAAATTCTTTGTTTTTCCTTGAATAAAGAGTTCTGAGAACCCTGTTATTGCTGCCGGCGGGGCGACCTCTTGCTGGGCTGGGGAAAGTCTTGGGAGCTGAGGGCCCTCCTCTTTGGGGGGTGCCGGGGACCCCGAGGTGAGTGGTCCGTGCCCTGGCTGGGAGAGGAGGGGCTGCAGCTGCTGCCCTGGGCAGAGGGACCTGCCACTGTCATTGCCTGCCCCGGCTCCTCCTGGGGTTGGTCCTGCTCTGCAGGGATGGGCACAGGGTGTGGCAGATTGTGATGCCTGGGTGGGAAGGCCTCCATTGTACCAGCTTCCTCCTCCTGCACAGAGACTGCAGGGCTGCTGGTGGGAGTCCCCTCTCGTGAGTTGCTGCAGCTGGAGCTGGAGTTGCTGGAGCTGGTGCTGGAAGAACTGAAGCTGGAGTTGCTGGAGCTAATGATGGAGGAGCTGGAGCTGGAGCTGCTGGAGCTGGTGCTGGCTGCTGGGCTGTTGTCCTCATCCCCAGCAGCGTGGGAGCGCAGCAGCCTCCTGGCCTCTTCACTGCACTGGCCCACAATGATGTTGATGGTGTCCTGGACCAGTGGCACTGTGTGTTCCTCCAGGATGTCTTGCAGCCTCTGGACCATGATCTCCTCATCTGGACCAAAGACACAGAGGGCATGCAGGATGCTGCTCTGTGCGTTCCTTGCCAGCCACCACTGGTCTCCATAGATGGTCTCCAGCCTCCGGTGCAGCCAGGGCCGCAGCGGGTCCAGGAGTTGCTGTTGTCGACGGAAAAGTTCTGCCCAGAGGTCAGGCAGGACACCACCAACAGCTTGGGGTGGTGTCCACTGTGAAGAAGATGGATGGGATGCCACAGGGGAATGGGGGCTGTTTCCTTGAGGGCCATCAGGAGCTGTCCCTGCCTGGCTGATGGCATCTGGCAGCTCATCAGGGGCTGTGATGACAATCTCCATGGAGTCATCAGAAAACCTCACAGTCTCTATCATTCTTCTGCAGAGTGGGCACACGGGATTTATGTGTGTCCACCGCAGGATGCAGCCCCGGCAAAAACGGTGGCGACAGGGCAGAGCAGAAGCCACATCCTTCTGAGTGTCCTGGCAGATGGAGCAGTTGCCATCTGTCTCCGAAGCCATTTTTGTGCCCTACAGCACACTGGTGAGAGCTGAGGATCAGGAGCTGCTTGCCCTCCCTGGTGTCACATACCACAGGAGGGAGACACCATGGTCACTGGTATCCCAGGAATGGGAAGAAGAAATGTCCAGGTCCCTTAAGAACAACACACTCCCAGCTCCCTGAGCCCCGTCACTCACCCCTGACCACCCCAGGGGATGTTGTCCCACACAGCCAACCTTCACTGCTGCAAGCACCCACAGTGCCCAGCTGCCAAACTAGCCAGGGCCAGGGAAACAGGAGGGATTGCTCCAAGTCTGCACTGAGATCCACTCAGCACCAGAGAAGCCTGGCTCAGTCCTCCAGACCTCACAGTCCTGCCTGGATGGACTTCAGGCTGGAGCCAGACTGGCCAAGGCTCTGCCTACAGAAAAATATAAGCAGTGAGGGATGATATGTCACAATGCATCCCCCAGTGGTGTCACAATCTGCTGCTCAGTGATATCACCTTCCACCAGCAGGTGATGTCACAATGAGATGTCTTTCGCTGCCAGCACTCAGTGTCAGGAGAAAAAGGGAAAGACTGTTTCCTGTTTTCAACTTCTACATTTCTGTGTTGCTCTGTCCCTCGGCCACCTGTATCATGCATCCATGGCCTTGCGTCTTATCCCTGCTCCTGACCCCTTGCCAAGATTTCCTGTGAGGAGGAGAGTGGTGGGAACAGTCGGCATGGACTGCCTGCAGCTGGATGACACCTTCTCCTCTCACTGCCTTTCCTTGGGCTATGCCAGGATTTTGAGGACTTGGCTAGTTAGTGCCCAGCTCTGTGTGTGAGTCTCCCACTCCTGTGGGTCATGTCCCTGCCTCAGGGAGAAGCAGAAAGGGGCATTTTGCTCGAGTCTCACCCAGTGCCACTGGCACTCACTCAGTGCCATGTCCCTCTCTGCTTACCAAGTCTCCATGCTTCTGACAGTGCATTGATGCTCCTCAAAAGCACGAGTGATGGGGCCCCACACCTGCAAGAAAGATCTGGAGTTGCTGCCCCTTCAGACTAGGGTAGAAGGGCTGGTGGTACCCTGCTCATGACTCTGGAGAGCCCAGGATCCATCACCACCTGGGCTGGGCTGTCCCACCATCCCTTCTACATCTTTAGCTCCAAGGAAGCCGTGAAGGTCAGGCCCACATATGTTACAATAACTCATAGCTCAGAGAAAGGGACGAGACTGCCTTGCCCAGGTGGCAGAGGTGTAGGATTGAACGTTTGGCTCCTGCACCCGAGTCTTCAGCCTTTTGCCTTCATGCAGCCTTTCTTCTGTGGGCAAGGGGAAGGTGTGTTTTATGAGAACAAGCTGCTCTTTTCTTCTCATCTTCTCACATATCAAGCCTCAATTTCTTTACTGAGCTTGAAAGCTGGAAGTACCTGTTTCTAAGATGGTTCAGATAATAATGGCCAGTCTTCGCGAGCGAAGATTTGGGAAAGGTCATTGACCCTTCGAGCCTGCGCAGTGGATTTTTTAGGTTCAGATAAACTAGGCTTTAATGCTTTATAACCGAGAAGTTGTTTCCAGAAGTACATGAAATACTGCATCCTTGAGAGCAACGGGAAGAAGCCAAAGGAGCAGACACCATCTTTTCAGACTTCTCCCAGATCAGTCTGTCTGTGTTCCTCCAGACACACTCCGAATATTGCTAGAAACATCTTGCTCCACATTGTTGTCTAAATCAGGCATGAGGGAAGGCCACTAGCCTGGCATGTGGCCTCCAGCAGAAGCTGCTGTGGTGGATTATGTGCTGGTGCAGGATCTGTTGCTTAAAGCTGCCAGCTTAATACATTTATTAATACATAGCTCCAGATTAATACATTTTACTACAGTCAATCAGGTATCGGATTTAATTATTTTAGCTTTGTGTTCTCTCTCTTCCGTATAACCAGTGGTAATAGCAAGTAGACAGAAGCCTTAGGTGCCAAGCCACCTGTCCCTGCTCCCACTGAGTCTCCATTTCCTTTTTCTCCTCATTTCAGGAGCAGATCCTTGCTTAGCCATGGAAGGATGAAAACATCTACAAAAAACATTTACAGAAGGAAAAAAAATCAGTGGTTTTCTGCAATGAAAGATTTGGCAGTTCTTGTTTCTTAAGGTTTGTTTGTTTTTCTTATATTTAAATCGTCAGTAATTTTGCTCACTTTTTTACTGTGGAGAGTCTTAAAGCATATGATGATTTTCAG